TAGTGTAGTGTAGTAGTGTATAGTGTAGTAGTGTATATTGTAGTCGTGTATAGTGTAGTACTGTATAGTATAGTGTGGTAGTGTATAGTGTAGTAGTGTATAGTGTAGTAGTGTAGTAGTGTATAGTGTAGTAGTGTAGTAGTGCATAGTGTAGTAGTGTATAGTGTAGTAGTGTATAGTGTAGTAGTGTATAGTGTAGTATAACTACCACATCTCTCTCCCCTACCCAGCCCTGAACCTCACGAGTGCCTCCAGCTTTCAGATGCTGCGAGGTGCCGTGGTGGTGTTTACCCTGTAGAGTAGTGTAGTAGTGTATAGTGTAGTAGTGTATAGTGTAGTGTAGTAGTGTATAGTGTAGTGTATAGTGTAGTGTAGTAGTGTATAGTGTATAGTGTAGTAGTGTAGTAGTGTATAGTGTAGTGTAGTAGTGTAGTAGTGTATAGTGTAGTAGTGTATAGTGTAGTGTAGTAGTGTATAGTGTAGTAGTGTATAGTGTAGTGTAGTAGTGTATATTGTAGTGTATAGTGTATATTGTAGTGTATAGTGTAGTAGTGTATAGTATAGTGTATAGTGTAGTGTTGTAGTGTATAGTGTAGTGTAGTAGTGTATAGTGTAGTGTAGTAGTGTATAGTGTAGTAGTGTATAGTGTAGTAGTGTATAGTGTAGTAGTGTATAGTGTAGTAGTGTATAGTGTAGTGTAGTAGTGTAGTGTATTGTATAGTGTAGTGTAGTGTATAGTGTAGTAGTGTAGTGTATAGTGTAGTGTAGTAGTGTATAGTGTAGTGTAGTAGTGTATAGTGTAGTGTAGTAGTGTAGTGTATAGTGTAGTGTAGTAGTGTAGTGTATAGTGTAGTAGTGTATAGTGTGTAGTATAGTGTAGTGTATAGTGTAGTAGTGTATAGTGTAGTAGTGTATAGTGTAGTGTAGTAGTGTATAGTGTAGTGTATAGTGTAGTAGTGTATAGTTTAGTAGTGTATAGTGTAGTATATAGTGTAGTGTATAGTAGTGTAGTGTATAGTGTAGTGTATAGTGTAGTTGTGTAGTAGTGTATAGTGTAGTAGTCTATAGTGTAGTAGTGTATAGTGTAGTGTAGTAGTGTATAGTGTAGTGTATAGTGTAGTAGTGTATAGTGTAGTATAACTACCACATCTCTCTCCCCTACCCAGCCCTGAACCTCACGAGTGCCTCCAGCTTTCAGATGCTGCGAGGTGCCGTGGTGGTGTTTACCCTGTAGAGTAGTGTATAGTGTAGTGTAGTAGTGTATAGTGTAGTGTATAGTGTAGTGTAGTAGTGTATAGTGTAGTAGTGTATAGTGTAGTAGTGTAGTAGTGTATAGTGTAGTGTAGTAGTGTATAGTGTAGTAGTGTATAGTGTAGTGTAGTAGTGTATAGTGTAGTGTAGTAGTGTATAGTGTAGTAGTGTATAGTGTAGTGTAGTAGTGTATAGTGTAGTATAACTCCCACATCTCTCTCCCCTACCCAGCCCTGAACCTCACGAGTGCCTCCAGCTTTCAGATGCTGCGAGGTGCCGTGGTGGTGTTTACCCTGTAGAGTAGTGTAGTAGTGTATAGTGTAGTGTAGTAGTGTATAGTGTAGTGGTGTATAGTGTAGTGTAGTGTAGTAGTGTATAGTGTAGTGTATAGTGTAGTGTATAGTGTAGTGTAACTCCCACATCTCTCTCCCCCTACCCAGCCCTGAACCTCACGAGTGCCTCCAGCTTTCAGATGCTGCGAGGTGCCGTGGTGGTGTTTACCCTGTAGAGTAGTGTAGTAGTGTATAGTGTAGTGTAGTAGTGTATAGTGTAGTGTAGTAGTGTATAGTGTAGTGTATAGTGTAGTATAACTCCCACATCTCTCTCCCCCTACCCAGCCCTGAACCTCACGAGTGCCTCCAGCTTTCAGATGCTGCGAGGTGCCGTGGTGGTGTTTACCCTGTAGAGTAGTGTAGTAGTGTATAGTGTAGTGTATAGTGTAGTGTATAGTGTAGTATAACTCCCACATCTCTCTCCCCCTACCCAGCCCTGAACCTCACGAGTGCCTCCAGCTTTCAGATGCTGCGAGGTGCCGTGGTGGTGTTTACCCTGTAGAGTAGTGTAGTAGTGTATAGTGTAGTGTAGTAGTGTATAGTGTAGTAGTGTATAGTGTAGTATAACTCCCACATCTCTCTCCCCCTACCCAGCCCTGAACCTCACGAGTGCCTCCAGCTTTCAGATGCTGCGAGGTGCCGTGGTGGTGTTTACCCTGTAGAGTAGTGTAGTAGTGTATAGTGTAGTGTATAGTGTAGTGTAGTAGTGTATAGTGTAGTGTAGTAGTGTATAGTGTAGTGTATAGTGTAGTGTATAGTGTAGTGTATAGTGTAGTGTAGTAGTGTATAGTGTAGTAGTGTATAGTGTAGTGTAGTAGTGTATAGTGTAGTGTAGTAGTGTAGTGTAGTGTATAGTGTAGTGTATAGTGTAGTGTATAGTGTAGTAGTGTATAGTGTAGTGTAGTAGTGTATAGTGTAGTGTAGTAGTGTATAGTGTAGTGTAGTAGTGTATAGTGTAGTGTAGTAGTGTATAGTGTATAGTGTAGTATAACTCCCACATCTCTCTCCCCTACCCAGCCCTGAACCTCACGAGTGCCTCCAGCTTTCAGATGCTGCGAGGTGCCGTGGTGGTGTTTACCCTGTAGAGTAGTGTAGTAGTGTATAGTGTAGTGTAGTAGTGTATAGTGTAGTGTAGTAGTGTATAGTGTAGTGTATAGTGTAGTGTATAGTGTAGTATAACTCCCACATCTCTCTCCCCTACCCAGCCCTGAACCTCACGAGTGCCTCCAGCTTTCAGATGCTGCGAGGTGCCGTGGTGGTGTTTACCCTGTAGAGTAGTGTAGTAGTGTATAGTGTAGTGTAGTAGTGTGTAGTGTAGTAGTGTATAGTGTAGTGTAGTAGTGTATAGTGTATAGTGTAGTAGTGTATAGTGTAGTATAACTCCCACATCTCTCTCCCCCTACCCAGCCCTGAACCTCACGAGTGCCTCCAGCTTTCAGATGCTGCGAGGTGCCGTGGTGGTGTTTACCCTGTAGAGTAGTGTAGTAGTGTATAGTGTAGTGTAGTAGTGTATAGTGTAGTGTATAGTGTAGTATAACTCCCACATCTCTCTCCCCCTACCCAGCCCTGAACCTCACGAGTGCCTCCAGCTTCCAGATGCTGCGAGGTGCCGTGGTAGTGTTTACCCTGTAGAGTAGTGTAGTAGTGTATAGTGTAGTGTATAGTGTAGTAGTGTAGTAGTGTATAGTGTAGTGTAGTAGTGTATAGTGTAGTAGTGTATAGTGTAGTAGTGTATAGTGTAGTGTAACTCCCACATCTCTCTCCCCCTACCCAGCCCTGAACCTCACGAGTGCCTCCAGCTTTCAGATGCTGCGAGGTGCCGTGGTGGTGTTTACCCTGTAGAGTAGTGTAGTAGTGTATAGTGTAGTGTAGTAGTGTATAGTGTAGTAGTGTATAGTGTAGTGTAGTAGTGTATAGTGTAGTGTAACTCCCACATCTCTCTCCCCTACCCAGCCCTGAACCTCACGAGTGCCTCCAGCTTTCAGATGCTGCGAGGTGCCGTGGTGGTGTTTACCCTGTAGAGTAGTGTAGTAGTGTATAGTGTAGTGTAGTAGTGTATAGTGTAGTGTATAGTGTAGTGTAGTAGTGTATAGTGTAGTGTATAGTGTAGTGTAACTCCCACATCTCTCTCCCCTACCCAGCCCTGAACCTCACGAGTGCCTCCAGCTTTCAGATGCTGCGAGGTGCCGTGGTGGTGTTTACCCTGTAGAGTAGTGTAGTAGTGTATAGTGTAGTGTAGTAGTGTATAGTGTAGTGTAGTAGTGTATAGTGTATTGTATAGTGTAGTGTAGTAGTGTATAGTGTAGTGTAGTAGTGTATAGTGTAGTGTATAGTAGTGTATAGTGTAGTAGTGTATAGTGTAGTAGTGTATAGTGTAGTGTATAGTGTAGTAGTGTATAGTGTAGTAGTGTATAGTGTAGTGTATAGTGTAGTAGTGTATAGTGTAGTGTAACTCCCACATCTCTCTCCCCCACCCAGCCCTGAACCTCACGAGTGCCTCCAGCTTTCAGATGCTGCGAGGTGCCGTGGTGGTGTTTACCCTGTAGAGTAGTGTAGTAGTGTATAGTGTAGTGTAGTAGTGTATAGTGTAGTAGTGTATAGTGTAGTGTAACTCCCACATCTCTCTCCCCTACCCAGCCCTGAACCTCACGAGTGCCTCCAGCTTCCAGATGCTGCGAGGTGCCGTGGTGGTGTTTACCCTGTAGAGTAGTGTAGTAGTGTATAGTGTAGTGTAGTAGTGTATAGTGTAGTGTATAGTGTAGTAGTGTATAGTGTAGTGTATAGTGTAGTAGTGTATAGTGTGTAGTGTAGTAGTGTATAGTGTAGTATAACTCCCACATCTCTCTCCCCTACCCAGCCCTGAACCTCACGAGTGCCTCCAGCTTTCAGATGCTGCGAGGTGCCGTGGTGGTGTTTACCCTGTAGAGTAGTGTATAGTGTAGTGTATAGTGTAGTGTAGTAGTGTATAGTGTAGTAGTGTATAGTGTAGTGTATAGTGTATAGTGTAGTAGTGTATAGTGTAGTGTATAGTGTAGTGTATAGTGTATAGTGTAGTAGTGTATAGTGTAGTGTATAGTGTAGTGTATAGTGTAGTGTATAGTGTAGTGTATAGTGTAGTGTATAGTGTAGTGTAGTGTATAGTGTAGTAGTGTGTAGTGTAGTAGTGTATAGTGTAGTAGTGTATAGTGTAGTGTAGTAGTGTATAGTGTAGTGTAGTAGTGTATAGTGTAGTGTATAGTGTAGTAGTGTATAGTGTAGTGTAACTCCCACATCTCTCTCCCCCACCCAGCCCTGAACCTCACGAGTGCCTCCAGCTTTCAGATGCTGCGAGGTGCCGTGGTGGTGTTTACCCTGTAGAGTAGTGTAGTAGTGTATAGTGTAGTGTAGTAGTGTATAGTGTAGTGTAGTAGTGTAGTAGTGTATAGTGTAGTAGTGTATAGTGTAGTGTAACTCCCACATCTCTCTCCCCCTACCCAGCCCTGAACCTCACGAGTGCCTCCAGCTTTCAGATGCTGCGAGGTGCCGTGGTGGTGTTTACCCTGTAGAGTAGTGTAGTAGTGTATAGTGTAGTGTAGTAGTGTATAGTGTAGTGTATAGTGTAGTATAACTCCCACATCTCTCTCCCCCTACCCAGCCCTGAACCTCACGAGTGCCTCCAGCTTTCAGATGCTGCGAGGTGCCGTGGTGGTGTTTACCCTGTAGAGTAGTGTAGTAGTGTATAGTGTAGTGTAGTAGTGTATAGTGTAGTAGTGTATAGTGTAGTGTAGTAGTGTATAGTGTAGTGTAACTCCCACATCTCTCTCCCCTACCCAGCCCTGAACCTCACGAGTGCCTCCAGCTTCCAGATGCTGCGAGGTGCCGTGGTGGTGTTTACCCTGTAGAGTAGTGTAGTAGTGTATAGTGTAGTGTAGTAGTGTATAGTGTAGTATAACTCCCACATCTCTCTCCCCCTACCCAGCCCTGAACCTCACGAGTGCCTCGAGCTTCCAGATGCTGCGAGGTGCCGTGGTGGTGTTTACCCTGTAGAGTAGTGTAGTAGTGTATAGTGTAGTGTAGTAGTGTATAGTGTAGTAGTGTATAGTGTAGTGTAACTCCCACATCTCTCTCCCCCTACCCAGCCCTGAACCTCACGAGTGCCTCGAGCTTCCAGATGCTGCGAGGTGCCGTGGTGGTGTTTACCCTGTAGAGTAGTGTAGTAGTGTATAGTGTAGTGTAGTAGTGTATAGTGTAGTAGTGTATAGTGTAGTGTAACTCCCACATCTCTCTCCCCCTACCCAGCCCTGAACCTCACGAGTGCCTCCAGCTTCCAGATGCTGCGAGGTGCCGTGGTGGTGTTTACCCTGTAGAGTAGTGTAGTAGTGTATAGTGTAGTGTAGTAGTGTATAGTGTAGTAGTGTATAGTGTAGTAGTGTATAGTGTAGTGTAACTCCCACATCTCTCTCCCCCTACCCAGCCCTGAACCTCACGAGTGCCTCGAGCTTCCAGATGCTGCGAGGTGCCGTGGTGGTGTTTACCCTGTAGAGTAGTGTAGTAGTGTATAGTGTAGTGTAGTAGTGTATAGTGTAGTAGTGTATAGTGTAGTGTAACTCCCACATCTCTCTCCCCCTACCCAGCCCTGAACCTCACGAGTGCCTCGAGCTTCCAGATGCTGCGAGGTGCCGTGGTGGTGTTTACCCTGTAGAGTAGTGTAGTAGTGTATAGTGTAGTGTAGTAGTGTATAGTGTAGTAGTGTATAGTGTAGTGTAACTCCCACATCTCTCTCCCCCTACCCAGCCCTGAACCTCACGAGTGCCTCCAGCTTCCAGATGCTGCGAGGTGCCGTGGTGGTGTTTACCCTGTAGAGTAGTGTATAGTGTAGTAGTGTATAGTGTAGTGTAGTAGTGTATAGTGTAGTGTATAGTGTAGTATAACTCCCACATCTCTCTCCCCCTACCCAGCCCTGAACCTCACGAGTGCCTCCAGCTTTCAGATGCTGCGAGGTGCCGTGGTGGTGTTTACCCTGTAGAGTAGTGTATAGTGTAGTAGTGTATAGTGTAGTGTAACTCCCACATCTCTCTCCCCCACCCAGCCCTGAACCTCACGAGTGCCTCCAGCTTCCAGATGCTGCGAGGTGCCGTGGTGGTGTTTACCCTGTAGAGTAGTGTAGTAGTGTATAGTGTAGTGTAGTAGTGTATAGTGTAGTGTAGTAGTGTATAGTGTAGTAGTGTATAGTGTAGTGTAACTCCCACATCTCTCTCCCCTACCCAGCCCTGAACCTCACGAGTGCCTCGAGCTTCCAGATGCTGCGAGGTGCCGTGGTGGTCTTTACCGGCCTGCTCTCGGTGGGCTTCCTGGGCCGCCGGCTCACCGCCTCCCACTGGTCCGGCATTGGCCTCACGATCGCGGGCCTCATCATTGTGGGCCTGGCCGACTTCCTCGGCGGCGGTGCCGGAGGTGCCGGAGGTGCCGGAGGTGCCGGAGGAGGTTCGGCCCCGCACCGCCTCAGCGAGATCATCACCGGTGAGATGCCCTGCCGGCCGGCGGCTACGTACGCTGGTAGCGGGGAGAGATTGGTGGTGGTGGTGGTGTTGTGGTGTTGTGGTGTTAGTGGTGGTGGTGGTGGTGGTGATGGTGGTGATGGTGTTGTGGTGGTGGTGGAGGTGGTGGTGATGGTGTGGTGGTGGTGGTGGTGTTGGTGTGGTGGTGGTGTTGTGGTGGTGTTGTGGTAGTGGTGGTGGTGTGGTGGTGTTGGTGTTGTGGTGGTGGTAGTGGTGGTGGTGGTGGTGTTGTGGTGGTGTTGTGGTGGTGGTGGTGTTGTGGTGGTGGTGGTGTTGTGGTGGTGGTGGTGTTGTGGTGGTGGAGGTGGTGGTGGTGGTAGTGGTGGTGGTGGTGTGGTAGTGGTGGTGGTGGTGGTGTTGTTGTGGTAGTGGTGTTGTGGTGGTGGTGTTGTGGTGGTGGTGGTGTTGTGGTGGTAGTGGTAGTGGTGGTGGTGATGGTGTGGTGGTGGTGGTGGTGGTGTTGTGGTAGTGGTGTGGTGGTGGTGGTGTTGTAGTGGTGGTGTTGTGGTAGTGGTGGTGGTGTTGTGGTGGTGTTGTGGTAGTGGTGGTGGTGTGGTGGTGTTGGTGTTGTGGTGGTGGTGGTGTTGTGGTGTTGTGGTGGTGGTGGTGTTGTGTTGTTGTGGTGGTGTTGTGGTGGTGGTGTGGTGGTAGTGGTGGTGGTAGTGGTGGTGGTGTTGTGGTAGTGGTGGTGTTGTGGTGGTGGTGGTGTTGTGGTGGTGGTGGTAGTGGTGTTGTGGTGGTGGTGGTAGTGGTGTTGTGGTGGTGTTGTTGTGGTGGTGGTGGTGGTAGTGTTGTGGTGGTGTTGTTGTGGTGGTGGTGGTAGTGTTGTGGTGGTGGTGTTGTTGTGGTGGTGGTGTGGTAGTGGTGGTGTTGTGGTGGTGGTGTTGTTGTGGTGGTGGTGTTGTTGTGGTGGTGTTGTGGTAGTGGTGGTGGTGGTGTTGTGGTGGTGGTGTGGTGGTGGTGGTGTTGTGGTGGTGGTGTTGTGTGGTGGTGGTGGTGGTAGTGGTGGTGGTGTTGTGGTGGTGGTGGTGTTGTGGTAGTGGTGGTGGTGGTGGTGTGGTGGTGGTAGTGGTGGTGGTGGTGGTAGTGGTGGTGGTGTTGTGGTGGTGGTGTTGTGGTGGTGGTGGTGTTGTGGTAGTGGTGGTGTTGTGGTGGTAGTGGTGGTGGTGTTGTGGTAGTGGTGGTAGTTACACTATACTGTATGCTACACTAGTATACTACACTATACACTACACTACTATATACTATACTACTATACACTATAAACTACACTACTACATTACACTACTATACACTACACTATACACTACACTATACACTACTATACACTACACACTATACACTACACTATACACTACACACTATACACTACATTATACACTACTATACACTACACTACTATATACTACACTACTATACACTATAAACTACACTACTACACTACAACACTATACACTACACTATACACTACACTATACACTACTATACACTACACTATACACTACACTACTATACTACACTACACTATACACTACACTATAAACTACACTACACTATAAACTACACACTACATTACACTATACACTACACTACTATACACTATACACTACACTATACACTACACTATACACTACTACACTATACACTACACTACACTACTACACTACTATATACTACACTATACACTACACTATACGCTACACTATACACTACACTACTATAAACTACACTACTATACAGAACACTACTATACACTACACTATAAACTACACTACTATACACTACACTACTATACACTACACTACTATACACTACACTATACACTAAACTATACACTACACTATGCACTACACTACTATACACCACACTACTATTCACTACACTACTATACACTACACTATACACTACACTATACACTACACTGTACACTACACTATACACTACACTACTATACACTACACTACTATACACTACACTATACACTACACTATACACTACTATACACTACACTATGCACTACACTATACACTACACTACTATACACTACACTATGCACTACACTATACACTACACTACTACACTACACTACTATACACTATACACTACACTATACACTACACTACTATACACTACACTATACACTACACTACTACACACTACACTATACACTACTACACACTACACTACTATACACTACACTATACACTACTACACACTACTATACACTACTATACACTACACTACTATACACTACACTATACACTACTATACACTACACTACTATACACTACACTTCTATACACTGCACTATACACTACACTACTATACACTACACTATACACTATACTATACACTACACTACTATACACTACACTACTATACACTACACTATACACTACACTACTATACACTACACTATATACTATACACTACATTATACACTACACTACTATACACTACACTATACACTACACTATACACTACACTAATATACACTACACACTACACTATACACTACACTATACACTACACTACTATACACTACACTATATACTACTACACTACTATACACTACACTATATACCACACTATACACTACACTCTACACTACACTATACACTACACTACTATACACTACACTATATACTACTACACTACTATACACTACACTATATACTACACTATACACTACACTATACACTACACTTTACACTACACTATACACTACACAACACTATACACTACACTACTATACACTACACTATACACTACACTATACACTACACTACACTATACACTACACTATACACTACACTATACACTACACACTACACTATACACTACACTATACACTACATTATACACTACACAACTATACACTACACTATACACTACACTATACACTATACACTACACTATACACTACACTATTCACTACACTATACACTACACTATACACTACTATACACTATACACTACACTATACACTACACTATACACTACACTATACACTACAGTACTATACACTACACTACTATACACTACACTATACACTACACTACTATACACTACACTATACACTACACTATACACTACACTATACACTACACTATACACTACACACTACACTGCTATACACTATACACTATGCTATACACTACACTATACACTACACTATACACTACACTATACACTACACTACACACTACACTATACACTACACTACTATACACTACACTATACACTACACTATACACTACACTATACACTACTATACACTACACTATATACTACACACTACACTATACACTACTATAAACTACACTACACTACACACTACACTATACACTACACTATACACTACACAACTATACACTACACTATACACTACTACACTATACACTACACGCTATACACTACACTACACTATACACTACACTACACACTACACTATACACTACACTACACTGCACACTACACTATACACTACACTATACACTACACTACACTATACACTACACTATACACTACACTACACTATACACTACACTATACACTACACTATACACTACACTACTATACACTACTATACACTACACTATACACTACACTACTATACACTACACTATACACTACACTATACACTACACTATACACTACACTATACACTACAATATACACTATACACTACATTATACACTACACTACTATACACTACACTATACACTACATTATACACTACACTATACACTACACTATACACTACACTACTATACACTATACACTACACTATACACTACACTTTACACTACACTATACACTACAATATACACTACACTACACACTACACTATACACTACAATATACACTACACTATACACTACACTAATATACACTACACTATACACTACACTATATACTACTATACACTACACTATACACTACACACTACACTATACACTACTATAAACTACACTACACTATACACTACACTATACACTACACAACTATACACTACACTATACACTACACTACTATACACTACACTATACACTACACTACTACACTATACACTACACACTATACACTACACTATACACTACACTATACATTACACTATACATTACACTATACACTACACTATACACTACACTATACACTACACTATACACTACACTACACTATACACTACACTATACTATACACTACACTATACACTACACTATACACTACACTATGCACTACTATACACTACACTATACACTACACTATACACTACACTATACACTACACTACTATACACTACACACTACACTACACACTACACTACACACTACACTACACTACACACTACACTATACACTACACTATACACTACACTATACACTACACTACACACTACACTACACTATACACTACACTATACACTACACTACACACTACACTATACACTACACTACTATACACTATACACTACACTACTATACACTACACTACACTATACACTATACACTACACTCTACACTACACTATACACTACACTACTATACACTACACTATACACTACACACTACACTACACTATACACTCACTATACACTACACTATGCACTACACTATACACTACACTACTATACACTACACTATACACTACACTATACACTACACTACTATACACTACACTATACACTACACTATACACTACACTACTATACACTACACTACTATACACTACACTACTATACACTACACTATACACTACGCACTACACTACACTATATACTACACTACTATACACCACACTATACACTACACTACTATACACTACACTATACACTACTACACTACACTATACACTACACTATACACTATTACACTATACTATACACTACTACACTACACTATACACTACTACACTATACACTACTACACTACACTATACACTACACTATACACTACACTA